CATTAGCCAGGCATGGTGGCACACGCCTAGAGTCCCAGCTACTCGGGAGGCCGAAGTGGAAGGATCACCTGAGCCCAGGAGGTTGAGGATGCAGTGAGCTGAGATTGTGCCACTGCACTCTAGCCTGGGTGACAGCGTGAGACCTTGACTCCAAAAAAAAAAAAAAATTCTACTACACAGCAGACCCTGTGAATCACCTGCATGTCATTTTCAAAACAGTTCCATGACATAGATATTGGTTTTTGTTGTTGTTGTTGTTTTGTTTTGTTTTCAGTTGGCGTCTCACTCTGTCGCCCAGACTGGAGTGCAGTGGCCGCTCCCAGCCACCTCGACCTACTGGGCTCTGGCGATCCTTCCGCCTCAGCCTTCCAAGTAGCTGGAACTACAGGCGTGTGCTACCACGCCCAGCTAATTTTTTATTTACTGTAGAGATGAGGTCTCGCCAAGTTGCCCAGGCGGGTCTCGAACCCACAGGCTCAGGCAATTCACTCACCTCAGCCTCCCAAGGCGCGGGATTACAGGCTGAGCCACCGAGCCTGGCTATGACATAGATATTGTTAGTCCTATTTTACAGATGAGAAAACTGAGGCTCATAGAGGAAGTAACTGGTCCTCAGGACAGAGCCACTAAATGGAAGAGTTCACACCTGCTTCCAGAGGCCTGGCTGCCTTTATCTATCCGAGGGGAACTTGACAGTGAAGAGTCCAACATGTGCCATTCACTCTAAATCCTCCCACCTCTGTAGAGCCCTCCAGTGGTCAGGCAGTCCTCCCTGTGTTTGCCCACACACTCTTGACCAGACTCCGTGGCACTTCTGGAATGGCATTGCGAGTATGCACGTGGCTAGGAGTGCCTTGCTCCCGGAGGCAATCTGACTCAAGTCCGCATCCCTAGCAGCTAGCACGGTGTACAACACACACTGAGCCCAGAAAAAGAACCACACTGAATGCTTTAATGAGCCCTAACTCCCTGAGCCCCAGCGCCACAAACCTACCCAGAGTCAGAGCGGCCTGCCCTGGGGAGACACAGGCATGGGGAGGACGCCCAGCCCTCCTCCCCCAGTTCAGTGGATTTCCCCTCAGGCTGAGGCCATGGCCCCAAGCCAATAATCCCGTCACCCTGGGGATAGTGAGGGTTCTCTCAGCCAGCATCTCCTCCAGGACGGGAACTACCATCATGACTCGCCCTTTGGTTGTACACCAGATGCAGTAGCTGACTTACATTTGGGGACTGTGCTATACAAAAAGATATCTCTTTAAACATTAGAACTTTAAGAGGAATAAACATGTTTCCCTGCTCGCTTTCTCTTTTTGCCAGATGGGAGTTCACACTTGATGACAGGAGCTGGAGCAGCCAGCGTGGACCATGAGATGGAAACCGGTGTTTGAGCAAGAAGAGCCACTTGGTCAAAGGAGCCCTGTTCCCAGATGACCCCCAGAATAGAGTAAGCTGCTCTTCCAGCTCTGGACTGCGTACTTCCAGAATGTTCAGGAGCAAGGACTAAACTTTTATTTCAGCCACTGTATTTTGGGATCCTTTTGTTGGAGCATTTTAGATTATACCTTAAAACAAGGTGTGAGCATCGCCCAGTGATTAATCCACTTTGGTCTTTGTTGGTAAAACAGTAAAAGTAATATCAACAATTTCCCAACCAAACTGTAACTAGGATTTTGTCATTACTGTATGTGTGTGTGTGTGTGTGTGTGTGTATGTATGTGTGTATGTGTGTGTGTGTGTGTGTGTGTGTGTGTGTATACACACATACATATACTTTGTCATTACTGTATATATACATATATATACACATATGTATATACTTTTTTCTTTTTTGAGTTGGGAGTCTCACTCTGTCGCCTAGGCTGGAGTGCAGTGGCTGCTCTCGGCCACCGCAGCCATGACCTGCTGGACTCCGGTGATCTTCCGCCTCAGCCTTCCGAGTAGCTGGAACTACAGGCGCGCGCTACCACGTCCAGCTAATTTTTGATTTATTGTGGAGATGAGCTCTCGCCAAGTTGCCCGGGCGGGTCTCGAACCTGCGAGCTCAGGCAATCCACTCACCTCA